TTTGAATTGCTGATATTTTGATGAGGATTTTTTTATCTTCATGAGATATATTATTGGTCTCTAGTTTTCCATTCCTGTAGTGTCTTCACCTGGTTTGGGTATTAGAGTACCTGAAAATGAATTAGGAAGTATTCCCTCAGATATTTTATGGAAGATGTAAAAAACTGGTATACTCTATTACTTAAATTTTTGGTATAATTTACATGTGAACTAATGGCAGACCAGGTGCTTTCTGTTTAAAGGTTATTAATAATTGATTCAATTGCTTTTATAGATGTAAGCCTTGTTCAGACTATTTCTCCTTCTGTGAGTTTTTAAAGATTGTGTCTTTCAAGGAATTGGTCTGTTTTATCGAAATTATAAAATTTATGGGCATAGAGTTATTCATGGTATTCCTTTGTTATCCTTTTAATGTCCCTGGGATCTGTCATGATGACCCTGCTTTCATTTCTGATGTTAGTAATTTGTGTCTACTCCCTTTTTTTCTCAGTTAGCCAGGCTAGAGTCTAGAGTCTTACCAGTTTTATTGATCATTTCAAAGACCCAGCTTTTGGTTTTGTTGCTTTTCTCTATTGATTTTCTTTTTCTTTTTTCTTCTTTTAAACATTTTATTTATTTATTTGACAGAGATCACAAGCAGGCAGAGAGGCAGGCAGAGAGTGGGGGGGTGACGGGGGAAGCAGGCTCCCTGCTGAGCAGAGAGCCAATGCTGGGTTTGATCCCAGGACCCTGGGATCATGACCTGAGCCAAAGGCAGAGGCTTTAATCCACTGAGCCACCCAGGCGCCCCTGTATTGATTTTTCTATTTTTAATTTCTTTGATCTCTAATTTTTCTTGTATCTTCTAATTACTTTGAATTTAATTTACTCCTCTCCGCCCCTTTTTTTTAAATTTTCCTCAGACAGAAGCTTGGATCGTTGATTTGGAATCTTTCTTCTTTTCTAATGTTTTTCACTGATTTTGTTGTATCTCACAAATCTTGATAAGTTGTATTTTCATTTTTATTTAGTTCAGAGTATTTTTAAAATTTTTCTTGAGACTTTGTCCTTGACCTGTATGTATATAGAAATGTTGTTTAATCACCAAGTATATTGGGAATGTCCCAGCCATCTTTCTGTTACTGATCTCTGGTTTGATTCTACTGTGGTCTGAGAACATACTTTTAATGATTTCTATTCTTTTTGTTTGTTAAGATGTGTTTTTAGACCCAGGATGTGGTGTGTCTTGGCGAATGTCGTGTTTTAGCTTAAGAAGAATGTGTATTCTCTTATTGGATAAAATACTCTGTAAATGCCAGTTGATGGCTGGTGCTGTTCAGTCCAACTGTGTACCTACCAATGTTTTGCCAATCTATAAGATCTGTTGGATCTGTCAACAGATCTGTTGGATCTGTCTACTGACAGAGGGGTTTTGAAATCTCCAACTGAAATAGTGGATTCATCTATTTCTTTGTACAGCTCTGTCAGTTTTTGTATCATGTATTTTGATGTTCTGTCGTTAGGCACTTACACATTAAGGATTGTTGTGTGCCAGGAGGATTGACCCCTTTATCATTATGGGATGCTTCTTTTTACCCCTTATATTTTCCTTTGGTATGAAGTCTGCTTTATCTGAAATTAATATAGCTACACCAGCTTTCTTTTGATTTATGTTAGCATGGTACGCCTCTATCCATTTACCTTTCATTTATCTGTGTCTTTATATTTAAAGTGGGCTTCTTATAGATGACATATACTTGTGTCTTTCTTTCTCTTTCTTTCTTCAGTCTTCTACTCTTTTTCTGCCATCTCTGGCTCTAAGCGATCCTGTTATATGATTGGAACTTTTCTCCTGTCTGAGCATAGCAGGTGAACTTTTTTTTTTTTTTTTTTTTTTTACTTTTGTAAGTGATTGTCCTTGAGTTTGCAATTACCTTGATCAATAATCTAAGTCTGCTTTCAAATAGCTCTGTACCACCACATGGGTAGGGAGAGTTCCTTGTAAGAGAGTTTCCAGTCCCTCCCTCCTGTTCTCTATAATGTTTCTGTCATTCATTTCAGTTATTCATAAGCTGTACTCACTACGTATAGTGCTGCTACTGTGATGCTGAACATATATGTTAGATCAGTTAAGATTTAAAAAAACAAAGTATTTTGTTTTATCCCCATATATTCCTTTTCTAATGCTCTTACTTTTTTGTGTACATCTGTGCTTATTTATAACCTGTATCATTTTCCTCCTTTCTGAAGAACATGTAACATTTCTTGCAAGGCAGATCTCACTGATTTCCTCAATTTTTGTTAATCTGAGAAAGTCTTTATTTTCCCCTTACCTTTGAAGGTTAATTTGTCTTAATATAGAATTCTAGGTTGGTGAGTTTTTTCCTCTTGATACTTTAAATATTTCATTCCATTGTCTTGTTTTGTGCAGGGTTTCTAAAGAAAACCCTGATTTCTGATTGTCTTTGATTTTCTGCAGTTTGACTATGATTTAGGTATAGATTTTTTGGTTTATTTTATAGTGCTTGGTGTTCTCTGGGCTTCCTGGGTCTGTGGTTTGGTGGTTATGATTTTGGAAAATTCTCAGTCCTTATTGCTTCAAATATTCCTTCTTGTCCTTTCTCTTTTTGTCACCTTTTATAATTGTCCCACATTTCTTAGATATTCTGTTCTTTTTCATTCTTTTTTCTCCTTGCCTTTTAGTTTGGGAAATTTCTATTGGCAGTTCTTTAAGTCCCTGATTCTGTTCCTGGTTGTGTCAGTCTATTCATGAGCCCATCAAAGGCATGCATCATTTTTATTATGGTGCTTTTCATTTCCAGCACTTTGAATCTTTCTTAAAGTTTCCATTTCTGCTTATATTTCCTGTTGGCCCTTTCATGCGGTCCACTTTTTCCATTAGATGTTTTAACATATTAATTATAATTACTTTAAACTCACAATCTGATAATGCTAGCATTGCTGCCATATTCAAGTCTGGTTCTGTGCTTGCTTTGTCTCTTTAAACTGTGCTTTAAGTCTTTTAGTGTGCTTTCTAATTTTTTGCTGAATGCTGGCCACGAGGTGGTGGGTAAAAGAAACTGTTTAGTGTGCGATACTATGTTTACTGTGGTAGGACTTAGGCTATGTTTACTGTTTGGTGTTACTGCAGTTGTCAGAGGCTAAATTTCCTTTAGTGCCTGCTTTATGTCTCTCCGGTGGTGGGTGTGGGAGTAGGGGAAGCATTTTATAGTCCTATGACTAGGTCTCAGTCTTTTAGGGAGCCTGTGCCGGTTAACTTTGACCTTCACAATTGCTTCTCAGTCACCCTGTCACGGAAAGTGAGGTGGGAAGGCTGCAGGGAGCTGGAATTGGGTATTTCCCTTCCTTTCCCTTCCTGAAGGCAGAGCAGCTACATTGTGAAAAACCCCAGCTATTTAGGCTCTGGTAAAATATTTTCTCTTGAGGCAGGCCTTTTTAAGAACAGAAATGCTTTGGGCATTTTTAAATGCCCAAAGAGGAAATGCCCAAGAGGAAGCTTGAAGGGATTTTTCTCTAGTCTTTGCTGTAAGAACCTGGTAGTATCCCTAGAGATAAAACTCACAGAAGTGTAGGAATCCCCTTAAGATGGTCCTTCTGGAGTATTTAACCCTCAAACTTGTCAACACTGAGCTTCCAATTACATTTTACCTTTTCCTTGCCAGCACTAGTTCCCCAGCTGCTCAGGTAGGTTGTGATTCTCAGGAACACCTTCCTGTCTCTCCAGTTTGTGGGATGGCACTTTTCCCTGTGACCTCAGTTCTCTTACGGATTTAAGAAGAGTGGCTGTGGGACACCTGGGTGGCTTAGTCGGTTAAGCCACTGCCTTCGGCTGAGGTCATGATCCCAGGGTCCAGGGTCCTACGTGGGGCTCCTTGCTCAGTGGGGAGCCTGCTTCTCTCTCTGCCTCTGCCTGCCACTCTGCCTGTTTGTGCTACTCTCTCTCTCTCTCTGACAAATAAATAAATAAATAAATAAAATCTTTAAAAAAAAAAAAAAAACAAAAAAAGAAGGGTGGTTTATTTTTTGGTGTGTTCAGCTTTTCTCTTGCGAATGATGTCTTCCAAGGTCATTAGATTCCACTGCCAAAATTGGAAGCCTGCGATATTTTTTTTTAAATAAAGCTTTCAATTATAGACTTGAGTTTTGGCTTTTTTCTGGATAAAATGATTGAAATGGAACTTGCATATATTGCTTAATCGTTTTTCATTACACTGGTAATGAAGTATTGTGCCATTAATGTATTGATTTTTTTTTTTACCTTTTTTCAGAGAGTAAGATGCCGTTCAATAGCTATTCTAATTGTTATGTATTATAATCCCTTATCTGATGCTTGCAAAGCCAGGACAGCACTCTTTTAGAACTCTCCACCAAACTGTCTCAGTCATAATTTCCTTCCATCTGGCTACCAGTTGTGGATAAATACTCTGTTTCCATGCCTATCTCAGAGTCCTCTGTTGTCCCTTTAACCCTCTCTCTGTTAGGTTCATCAAGTTGTTGGCATTTGAGCAGGAGTAATAATATATCTCACTTTATTGTTTAAAAGTCTATGTTATTCGGGGTGCCTGGGTGGCTCAGTGGGTTGGTCCTCTGCCTTCGGCTCTGGTCATGATCCCAGGACCCTGGGACCATGACCTGAGCTGAAGGCAGAGGCTTAACCCACTGAGCCACCCAGGCGCCCCAAGTCTACCTTATTCTTAAAAGTCTTTTAGATAACCCCTTTAATTAAGTCTTTCCAGTAGCCTACCAAAAAAACTGTCATAACCACACATTTCTGTGATATGGCCATTAGCAGACTTTTTACTATATTCCCCAGTCTTCTTTTTGTTTGTTAGCTCATGTTTGAGTTGCTTTATTTGTCTAACTGTAATTACAATATTTCAGAAAGTGGATGGAGAGTGAGTTTCCCGAGCTTTGTATCATGTTGGATCACGTAGTAATCAGCGATTAACACTGCTTCAAAATGCTTAATGTAGTTGGTATTTTTGTTTCCGCTTTTACAGGAGGAACTCTCTGGAATGAAAAATAGGGTTCAAGTAGTTGTGCTTGAAAATGAAAGGCTCCAACAAGAGCTGAAATCTCAGAGACAACAGGAAGCAATGAGGGAACAAACACTTCTGGATGCATCTGTGAGCACTTTTTTTCAAACCATAAATTATATTTTAGTTTGAATGTTCCGTCCCACTCTCTCCCCCAGCCTTCCAAACTGCTGAAATTCTTGACTTGACATTTGGCAAATGTACTGTGCTGTGACTCACTTGGGGCCTCAGAAGTTAAATTCACATGGTGGAGTGACCCCTCAGATGCAGGGACGCAGGGACGTCGAGTATCTGTGCTGATTTCCTCTCGGAGCACACCTGCTGCGCACGTTTTGCCTGTACGGAAAGAGCAAGTCCAAAGCAGGAAACAGATCATGTAAGGAAGGACTTGGTTAAATCCAGAAACTTTGTAACTGTAGCTTAGATTTCTGTTGTAGGTCTCGAAATTTTCCTTACCCTCTGCATCCTAATAAGTCTAATTGGCAGCATGGGGGAGAGAAGGCGGGCCCAGGTCCCGGGATCAGCATGTTCGTTTCCCGTCGTCCCTGACAAGCTGGGTGTTTCACGAGTAATGTTATGCGGCTTTCAAATGTGACTTTACCTCTTGTGTCCTCTGATTATTGGCAGTTTGAGAAGATTCACCTATATTAGCTGTTCTTAATCTTTTTTTAAAAAAGATTTTATTTATTTACTTGATAGAGATCTCAAGTAGGCAGAGAGGCAGGCAGAGAGAGAGAGAAGGAAGCAGGCTCCCTGCTGAGCAGAGACCCCCCTCCCCCGCCCCCCGATGCAGGGCTTGATCCCAGGACCCTGAGACCATGACCTGAGCCCAGGGCAGAGGCTTTAACCCACTGAGCCACCCAGGTGCCCTAGCTGTTCTTAATCTTTTTTTTTTTTTTTTTTTTTTTTTTTTTTGACAAACAGAAAGAAATCACAAGTAGGCAGAGAGAAAGTCGGGGAAGCAGGCTCCCCGCTGAGCAGAGAGCCCGATGTGGGGCTTGATCCCAGGACTCTGGGATCATGACCTGAGCCAAAGGCAGGGGCTTAACCCACTAAGCCACCCAGGCGCCCCTGTTCTTAATCTTTAATATGAGTAACAATCACTTGGGATACTTGCTGGCCATACAATTCCTGAGCTCTCCTCCCCTGAGAGTCTGATTCATTGAGGTTGAGTTCTTGGGTTGAGTTCTTGAGTTAAAAACATGAATTTTTAACAAGTTGCCTAAAAGATTCTAGTATGACTGCACCACATTTTTTTTAATCCACGTGCCACATTTTGAAGAACAGTGGAGTCAGTGATGTCCATAACTGTACGACACAAAATTCTTGGGATGACATTTAAGTAGTGTTTAAATTTAGTATCTCCTTGTGACTGGTCAGAGATACTATTGCCTTAAAAATGTTATTTACTCTTTTGCTATAGGACACTGTTAATCATAGCTTGTTTTGCCTTTTGAAACAAACTCAGTGTTCCATGAGGAAGTGTTAATACTTGCCTCCTGTGGCTTTACTTTATAATGGGTTTGGTGACTTTGACCTGGTTGTCATTGGTAAATCAGTTGTCTCCATGTTTTACCTAGATGTTCTCTAATTTTTTATTTTGAAGTGTTTTTTCATTGACCTGACCTATGTCTCATTTGTAATCCTTGAGTTCTCTGTTAGAATTTCCTATTTAGAAGTAGCTGATTGTGTTAAATCTGAATGGCAAATTGGGCTTCTCTGTATTTCAGTTGATTTTTCTGCACTATATTTCAGTTTGTGTCCAGCTTCTCTCCCTTCACCAGAAGAGTGTTTTCTGAATATTTATATTATTATTTATTATCAATGTTAGAACTTAAAAATTCCATGTTAGTTGCTTATTATTTTAATGTCAGTTTGAAGACGATAGAGCCATATAAAAAGTACTTGGAAGTAGCTCGTTTTAAAAATATATTCTTTTGCTTTTCTTCCAAATATGCAGTCACTTAGCAAACAGTGACTCGATTATTCATAGATGTTGGTATTTGTACAATGACAAAGAAGTGGAAGAAGGGGAAGTTCAGTGAGAAAGGAAATTAGGCAGATAAGTGAACCAGAGGGCGGGAGAAGTGAGTAACGCAGAAGGGGAAGGAAGCAACGTACAAGCACACATGCTTTGCCTTAGGAACAAAGGAAACTTGAAGAAATTTACAGCCATAGTTATGGAAAAAACAAAGTTGTAGAGTGTTTCTTCTTTTTTTTTTCTTTTTTAAAAAATTCACATGAACTAAAACATAATGCAAACAATCAAAATGATTGTTGCACGTGGGTTAGGAGATCTCCATATCTATTTTAATGTTGGTCTAATGTGTTATTTTGTTGTTATGGAATTACTACTGTTGTTTTTTGCTTGTGTAGGTGAATTGAGGCATTTCAGCAACGTATGCTTGGTATACCCTGTTCAGAATTTTAACGTAAATGAAACTTTTTAGAATATCTTAAATATAAACACATCAAGAGGCATTATCTTTTTTCTTTTTTTTCTTTTTTTTCTTTTTTTTTTTTTTTGCTGAACTCTATTTTACTGAGCCTATTACCATGCTGATGGTAGATCTTGCCAAAGCTGTTGGTGGATTTGAGTATAGATTTTCAGTATTTCTTAATGCCTTCTTTTGAAAAATAATTAAAATAGTTAGATAGTCATGATTAATACTTATTGATGACTACATGTTATGATGTGGCAGCTACTCTGTCAAGCACTTTATTTATATTCGATTATTTCAGGTTTATAGCAGCAAAGGAAGGCAGGTGTTATTCTCTTTTCAGGTGAGTAAATTAAGGTACAGCGTGGTTAAGTAAACAGAGCAAGACTGCTAATGCCACAGAGCTAGAAAATGGCAAAGCTAGGATTCGAACATGGGGCTGTCTGACTCCCACATCCATCTGTCTAGCCTTGAGTTATACTGTCTTTCTGCATAAGTTAGGAATAGCTTGTCACTATTGAACCAAACTACCTTTGTTTGCCATGGGATAGAAGATTATCCCCAGAAGAGGGGAATGTCCTCTTTATCGTTCCTGAATTTTAGCCTTGGACTTGGATGGTAGCCTACATGATGTTTAGCACTTAGCCTACTTTATGACCCAGTGGTTGAAGAAACAAACAGGTTATTTTTTAAAAACTACCACCATTTCCATCTTCATTTTTTATCATTCCATGAAATTTCTCTTCATGGAGAGCTTTTCTCCTGAGTTCAAACAATTATAATAATATTAAATATGCTATTTATTAGAAATTTGGAGGGTACCTGGTTGGCATAGTCTGTTGAATGTCCAGCTCTTGGATTCAGCTCAGATCATGACCTCTGGGTTGTGGGATTGAGCCCCAAGTTGGGCTTTGTGCTCTATATGGAGTCTGCTTGTGACTCACTTTGCCCCCTCCCTGCCCTCAGATAAATTAATCTTTAAAAAGGAAGGAAGAAAGAAAGAAAGAGAGAGAAAGAAAGAAATTTTGGCATGTGTACTCATTCAAAGATCTAGGAGGTTTATTTATTTATTTATTTTAAGATTTTATCTATTTATTTGACAGATGGAGATCACAAGTAGGCAGAGAGGCAGGCAGAGAGAGAGGAGGAAGCAGGCTCCCCGCCGAGCAGAGAGCCCGACGTGGGGCTCGATCCCAGGACCTTGGGATCATGAGCCGAGTCGAAGGCATAGGCTTTAACCCACAGAGCCACCCAGGTGCCCCTCTAGGAGATTTTTTTAAAAGCAGAACATTTCCGAGTCATTTCTTTCCCTGTCTACTTTCATCCCCTCACTACCATCACTCCCCTCAATTAAGAAATCAGGTTTTCAGTGATCTCCAGGGATGTAAATGTAATTAGATTTTTTAAATTTTGGTCAAATACCATTCACATTCTTAAATGTTATCTGTGAAAGGACGTGCCAATTAGACTATCAGTTCTTTTCAAAGAATGGCATTATTTTATATCATAAGTCAGTGATCTGTGGTGTACGTACTTTTTCCAATTTCATTACAGGAAATTAGTGCTCCTGTTCTTCATAATTCTCTAAGGCAACTTTGAATGCACTCAGATCTTGAGCAATTTGTCCTTACCTACAAAATCAAGTTCAAACTTGTTATACCATGTTTTCTAGACCCTTATTTGACTCTCTAGCTTAACATTTTTATATCCTTTGTTTTGTGCTTCAATATTTAGTAATTCTGAGTTGCGTGAATCTCCTGTAGGCACCAGACTTTTTCACACGTCTGTGACTTTCCCTGTAATGTTTTCTTTCTGGCATGCTCTTCTCATCTAGCTCACTCTTTCTTATCCAAGATACCACACCAGTGTCAACACGTCCCCAGAAAACCTTCCTTGAATCTCTGGTTGTTCTTAGTGCCCCTGCTTTCTTTTTGCATAGTTCCCTGTGCACATCTCTGGCCTAGCACTTACCTTATTAAATTGAAATTATCTGCTTAGGTGTTTGTCTTGAGGATAAGATTGGTCTTGCTCATTTTGACCCTCCAAACTCTTAGCACAGTGCCTAAACATAGGAAGTATCATACACAAATATTTGCATTAAACTGAACTTCCAGAAGAATATGGAATAGGCCGTCAGAATACTACTTGGGATGAATGAGTTTAGCTCATTCTGGTATGATATGACACTGCAGTATAGTTCTGTGTTTGGGACCTGTCCTCTCTTGTGAGTACTACAATATCCTTTGGTCCTTAGCAAGAGTTCAGTGATTGTTTGTTGAATGATATTATTAATATTTCAGTCCTTGTACACGCAAATTACCCAGATCTTTGGGCTGCATAGTTCACTGAATGTTGAGAGGGTCCCTTCCGGAGGTACAGACACAAGGGGTACATATCAGATGTGGTCTATAGGCATGTTTGGTTTGTTTGACAAACTATGAACCAGTATTTAACAGTGTTTCAAATGAAAAACCAGATATCTGGCTTATCTTTTAAAAAATCAGAAGGTTTTTTTTTTATAATCTGAGTTTGCATTCACTCATGGCAAAAGTTGCCTGGAACTGAGTCGTGGCTGCAAGTTCTGGATCATTTGTCATGTCCCTATCCCTCCTTTGTGAGTCCCTGACATGCAGGCTAGGTGTCAGTGCCGTTTATCTCCATGCACTATTTTTCTTATTGAAGATAAACATTTTTCTGAAACAGCAGGAGAGCATAGTGGTTTGGGGCATGTACTGGGGAACTAGATTGCCAAGGTTCGCATCCTGGCTCTGCTGCTTATTAGCTACTTCCTACCTCTGTGACTCTTACAAGTTACTCAGTGTGACTCAGTTTCCTCTTTTAAAAGATTATTTATTTTAGAGAGCGAGAAGAATGCATGAAAGAGTAATGTGGGGGGTGGGCAGCGGGAGAGGGAGGGGAATCTCAAACAGACTCCCCACTGAGCCTGAAGCCCAAAAGGGAAAGGTGGAAAATGAAACCAAGAGAGGGCTGTGTGTTTTAAGAATGTATGTCTTCCAGAGAAGTAAGAGAGGAGTTCATTTGCTGAAACACTGGCAGGCAGCCCTCTTTGCTCATTTACGTTATTGCCTGTGCCCGTAGGAATCTGACTTTGTAACACTTGCGGAATATGACCCTAGTAGCCTGAAAACGTAAAATCATTTTGACGTGTAGCTTGGAAGCATCCGCTCTTGAATTCGTTCCATCACAGATGAGAATCAGTGAGCATTTGTGAAACATGTGTGTTGACTTAAAGCTAAATGCCGATTGTAATTATTCCTACATTTTATTTTAGGGAAACCTGCAGAATTCTTGGGTTACAACAGGTGACGGCTCTGGGATGAATGAAGGTGCCAAGAGACGATTCTCCCAGGGCAATGCAGATGCAGTCAAAGGTCCATCGGCTGGTGAGGCTGAGAAATGGAAGCTAGAACTGGTGAGAATCTGGCTGCTTTTCTCTTATGCATCTACTTTTTTGTACTTTTTCTATTGTGGAAAATACACATGCCATTAAATTTAGCGTTTTTGCCCTTTTAAAATTTACAGTATGTTTATTTTTTTGTGTCTGGCTTTTTTTGTTCAACCTTCCATTTGTTAGATTTTTACCCATTATTGCATATGGCAGAACTTTGTTCTTTTTCACTGGTGTGTATACTGTATATATACACTACAATTCATTTATCCTTTCTACCATTGATGGATTTTTGTGTCGTGTCCTGTTTGGGGCTATTGTGAATATTGCTGCTATGGACATTCTTTCAGATGTCTGTTGGTGTGCATGACACACATTTACGTTGGGTGTGTACCTCAGAGAGGAATTGTCAGTCTTGGGATATGTGTATGTTCAGATTGAGTGGTTAGGGTGAGCTTTTCGGGTGGTTTTTATCAGCTTACACTTGTACAGCAGTACAGGAGTGATGCCATTGGTCCATATTCCCGCTGAAATATTTTATTGTCCGTTTTTCTGGTGGGCTTATAGTGCGGTCTCATTGTGATTGTCATTTGCATTTCTCTGATTACTCCTGAGATTGAATCTCTTTTCATATATTTATCAGTGTCCTACTATGTGTTCAAACATCCTACCCATTATTTTGAGTTATTTGACTTTTTTTTTTTTAACTTCTTTTTGTATTCTGGAAATAAGCCCTTTGTTGATTGTATCTTTGATAAATATATTTTCCTCACTCTGTGGCTTGCCTTGTAATTGTCCTGATAGTTTTCTTTCTTTCTCTCTTTTTTCATTCTTCATGACTAAAATTTCTTAAATTTTTTTTTAAGATTTTATTTATTTGACAGAAAGAGACACAGCAAGAGAGGGAACACAGGCGGGGGAGTGGGAGAGGGAGAAGCAGGCTTCCCACTGAGCATGGAGCCCAACGTGGGTCTTGCTCCCAGGACCCTGGGATCATGACCCGAGCTGAAGGCAGACACTCAATGACTGAGCCACCCAGGCGCCCCTAAAATTTCTTAATTTTAATGTAATCTACAGTTTTTCCCCTTTATTGTTTAGTACTTTCTGTATCCTGTATCAAAAGTGTTTCCCTGCCCCAGGTCTTAAAGCTATTCTCTTGTATTCTTGCTTTTAACATTTAAATCTACAATCTACCAGTCTTTATTTTGTATATGACATGTTACATAGGGGATCATATTTTGTTCTTTTCCCACATGTTTATGTATGTATATCCCAGTAGCATTTGTCAAAAAAACAGCCCTTTGTCTGGTATCTTTGTCATAAATCAGGTGTACGTATATGTCTGGGCTCTGTGTTTTATTTCTTTGGTCTTTGTGCTACTACCATCCTGTCTTGATTGTTACAGGTCTATACCTGGTGGTCCACATATCACATCTTCCAACATTGTACTTTGTCCTTAAGAGTGTCTCATTCCTGAAGGCACCTGGGTAGGGGGTGCAGTCGGTTGAATGTCTGACTCTTGGTTTGGGCTCCGGTTCTGTTCTCAGGGCTGTGAGATCGAGCCCCATGTCAGGTTCTGCACTCAGCCTGGAGTCTTCTTGAGATTCTGTCTCCCTCTCCTGCCTCTCCCACTCATGCTGGCTCATAAGTCTTTTTTAAAAATTTTTTTTCATTTTTCATTTTTTTATTTTTTAGTTTACTGGACAGACAGAGATCACAAGTAGGCAGGCAGAGAGAGAGAGGGAGAGGCAGCCTCCCCGCTGAGTGGAGAGTCTGATGTGGGGCTCGATCCCAGGACCCTGTGATCATGACCTGAGCAGAAGACAGAGGCTTTAACCCACTAAGCCACCCAGGCACCCCTAAAATAAATAGATCTTAAAAAAAAAAAAGTGTCGTATGCCTGGCCTTTTGTATTTCCAAATACATTTTAGAATTAATTTGTCAAGTTCCAGAAAGCCATTATGAGGCTTTGATTGAGATTGTCCTTAAACTATGTCACCAGGGGGAGAAGAGATCTTTATTTATTTATTTTTAAAGATTTTATTTATTTATTTGTCAGAAAGAGAGAGGAAGAGAGAGAGCCCAAGCAGGGGTAGCAGCAGGCAGAGAGAAGAGCCTGATGGCAGGACTCGATCCCAGGACCATGGCCTGACCTGAAGACAGACACTTAAAGGATGAGCCACCCAGGTGTCCGGAAAATAGCTTGATGATATTATATCATCTGGTCCTTTTTTTTTTGAAGATTCTATTTATTTATTTGAGAGAGAGAGAGCACAAGTAGGGGTGGGTAGGGGCGTATCTCTTCCCTGTATAGATGCAATGCACCTCATTGGTCTTCCCTATTCCACACTTCAGAGTGACTTAAGATTCAAATTCAGTAAAGTTTTCAATGTCCACCCAATGCCTCTGCTACATGGAGATTTCATGAGTTGTCTGGGTAAAGGTCTTATATATTTTTTCTCCTCATGACCCATTCTCACCTATTCACCCGTTTCTATCCATTTTTCTATCTAGCGCTGGATCCGTGAGTGGATACTGCTCCACTCCCTGGCCAAACATGCAGCTTGTTTTCTCCAGCCTCTGTGCCTTGTGCTCTGTTGGAAGTTAATCCTTTAAGTATTAACGCTTCTTCCAGGAAGCCTTCTTCATTTCTCGTAAGCTGAATTACAAGTTCCTGCATCTCTGATTTCAGTTTACCTTCTGTATATCTCCCTGGAGTGAATTATATATAATCAAAATTGTCCCGTGTTTTTCTATTCCTTCCAAGAATATAAGCTCCTGGGTGAAAGACATCTTCATCTCAGATACCCTATAAATATTTGTTGAATGAAAGAACAGTGGGATGCCACCAGCCCCTTGTAGCTAGGACATCCATTTGGTCTGTCATTTTATTGTGATTTATAACTTTTCTTTTATCACTGATCCAGCCCTCATTTATTGTATGTCAATACACATCAGTCACAGTGGGGGATTCCAGTAAGGTTTGATCCTGGCCCTCATGGACCTTATAGGTTGAAATTGGTTTTTCTTGGGACGCCTGGGTGGCTCAGTTGGTTAAGCCCCTGCCTTTGGCTCAGGTCATGATCCCAGGGTCCTGGGATTGAGCCCTGCATCGGGCTCCTTGCTCGGCATGGAGTCTGCTTCTCTCGCTGCCTCTGTCTGCCTCTCTGCCTGCTTGTGTGTACTCTCTCTCTTTCTCTCTGGCAAATAAATAAAATCTTTAAAATAAAATAAAATAATGGGATTGGGAGGGAGACAATCCATAAGTGACTCTTAATCTCACAAAACAAACTGAGGGTTGATGGGGGGAGGGGTAGGGCTATGGACATTGGGGAGGGTATGTGCTATGGTGAGTGCTGTGAAGTGTGTAAACCTGGCGATTCACAGACCTGTACCCCTGGGGATAAAAATATATTATATGTTTATAAAAAATAAAATAAAAAAATAGGTTTTTCTCAGAATCATACTTTTAGAAGTAAGATCTAATATATGCATTTTTGAAAAAATTTGACAGGGAGGGCAGTAATAACCATTTTATGACTCAGTCCACAAAGAATGGGTACTCAGTAAAAGTACAAAAGTTTGGGTGAACTAGGGAAAGTGTTTCTTGAGAGGACACATTATTTTTCTTCTTGGGTAAAAGGACAAAAATTGAGGTTAATAATAATTAAAACTTGCTGATGAAGCACAGAGCATGAAGAAAATGTACACTTTTTTTTTTTTTTTCTAAAGGAGAGGTTAAAACTTACTTATGAAGAAAAGGGTGAGATCCTGGAATCGCAATTGAAAATTTTGAGGTAAAGTATCATTAAAAATTATAGCAAAAATTATAGCAAAATTATAGCAAAAGCATAATGATCTTAAAATATATTTGAATGTTTCCTGACCTGCCAATTCTACTCAACTTAAGAATTACTTGATGACATTTTATGTTTGAGATAAGAAATATCCTCAGGTTATTAAAGGAACAGGGGCATAAAATTATGAAGTCCCATTTCAAAGAACTGTGAGCTAAATTAAAAATTTTATCCCTTCATCAGTTATGAAATATTTATGTTTTCTCATAGAAATAAGAATCACTAGCTGCTCTGATAGAAATTATGCTTTTAAAATAAAATACTGAAAATAAACTTCTTAGTTTTCGAATTACAAACAAGTATTTTTTCCTCTATAGATATTTTTATCTAACTTTTAAAGTTGTAACAATAATAGTTTGAGTATTTTTCTATATGTGAAGAATATGTATATACTAGTCTTCCTTTCTCTATGCGGGATATGTTCCAGGACCCTCAGCGGATGCCTGAAATTGTGGATAGTACTGAACCTTATATGTATTGTTTTTTCATGTATATATATATATACCTATGTATCTTAAGGTAAAGTTTAATTTAGTAAGAGATTAGGCACAGTAAGAGATTAACAGCAATAACTAATAATAGAATAGTTATAACAATATACTGTAATAAGGGTTATGGGAATGTGGTGTCTCAAGATATTGTATTGTCTGTACTGATCCTCCTTGAGATGGTGTGATGAGATGAAGTAGGGGAATGATGTTTGCATTGTGATGCATCGTTAGGCTGCCACTGACCTTCCAGTGGTCCGTCAGAAGGAGGATCATTTCCTTTTGGACCCGATTGTCTTTGTATAACTCAAATCATGGAATGGGAAACTGTGGTTTGGGGAGGACTTCTATATACACATTAAGGTTTCATGTACTTTCTGACATTTTTTTAGAAGTCTCAATAAGGACTATAGATTATAGATTAATGATTAGTGATTTATTATATACTGTAGGCAGGAAAAGATACCAGGAATTGATTTTTTGGGGGTGTTAAAGCTTATTTTAAATAATGGCTGTGAAATATATTTCAATCAAATAAACTTTAAAGTTCTTTTTATAGTTTTAGTAAGTTCTAATTTGCACTAAAATATAAAATCTTTAGGCCACATATTATTTGGAGACATAAGCAGAGTCATACCTAGAACCAGAACTCATGGCTTTTATGCACATTATCATTCATTTTTTAATACGCTCTTATGCACTTTATATCTTAGCCTGATTAGTTTTAGGATTTCTATAGAGACTTTTATTTTTTAATGAAGAAATCTAACGTATAAAGTGACCTAATATTTACTCTCTTGCTTTTTATCTCTCTTTATTATATTTTTATTTCTGTTGTGTTTCGATTCTTCAGTTTTTGTTTTGTTTCTTAGAGACGGAGAGCACGAGGGAGCACAAGCAGGGGAGGGGCAGAGGGAGAGAGAGGATCTGAAGCAGATTCCATGCTGAATGTGGAGCTGGACACAGGGCTCAGTCCCACAGCCCTGGGATCGTGACCCGAGCCAAAGTCAGGAGTCAGTTGCTTCACCGACTGAGCCACCCAGATGCCCTGATTGTTCATTTTTTAAAGTAACGGCAATGTGACTTATTTTGTCTCATTCATAAGTCAAATGTGCCATCTTTAACATTAAAATACTGCTTTGCAATGAAGTAGACTTTGTTCCCTGAACCTTCTACTTCTCCCTTTTCCCTTTAGTATACCTTAAGATTATTTAAAGAGTCCTTTCCTTTAAGAAAGAGAGAAAACCACCATTCTCAGAAACTCTGGCTTTCTGGTACCTATTTCTTTTTTTTTTTTTTTTTTTTTTTTTTTTTTTACCATTTCAAGTAATCAAATCTACCTAAGGGTTTTGAATTTGAAACTGACAGAAATAATAATGGAGACCCTTTGATCTTGGAATGTGCTTCCAAAGTTCTTTTTACAAAGTCTTTGAAAGTCAGACTTTTTCTTTATGATATTTAAGAAGAAAACTTACTACATTGAAGATATTATCTTGGGCATAGGGCAAAACGGCTCACCCCCCACTTCAGACAGTGGTTAGATTAGCTTTTTTAACCCTTAGATTGCTTGCAGATCTCTCCTCCCTCCTCAAGGCTGCCTGAGAGCCCCCACTTCCCAGAGTGGAGGTCATGTGTGATGGCCAGGTGTCTAGATTATTGGCCTCTCTTCTGTGATAGCAAGTTAAGATAGCTACAGCCCCCTGAGTGTGATAGAAACTGACAACAGAGTTGACTGAGCTGGAGACAAAGTCTCTGCTTTCAGTAGTCCAAGCACTTAAGGGCTATCTTCTCCTTTGTAAGCTAGGAAGTTTTTAAAAATATATATAATATACAGCAGGAAAGGAATGTCTGTGCAAGGAAGCTGAGTTGTCCCAGCTGACTTTACCAAAGCTTTACTTGGGGCGGGGCGGGGGAGGGTGTGTGTGCAGGAATACAACCCATACACTGGTTGTTTTATCCTTAAAAAGTCAGCGTGGAGAACCTCATTGACTATCTCATACAGTAAAACAAAGTAAATACACACACACACACTTCCTCAGCACCCCTCCCTTTTCTTTAGCAAACTGCATATTTCTAGCTAATAGCTGCTACTTACAAATCTTTATGACTGCTAAATTTTCTATAACTTCTTTCTAGAAGAAGAGAGAAGCCCACTTGCTTTTGAAATAGCTCTTTATAGAACTTTGTGGTTAGATAATCTTTTAGTTTTTTCTTTTCCTCCTAAAGAAGATTAGGCAACAATAAATGACTCATGAATGAAATCCATGAGCTTCTAAGGCACTCTGCACATTTAAGGGTTAACACTTGGAATAGGATATTTCCCTCAACTCAAAGATGTTGTGTTACGTTACCTGGCCTTTTTATTAAGAGAAATGACTTAGGATTTGTACTTAAAGTTTTATTTTCGATCAGTGAATAATATTACATAATGGAGATGGAGGAGCCTTTGAAAAGAGCTGGTATCAAGAGGCAGACTAATCTGTGTTAAAATCTTACAAGAACTTGGGCTAATTATTTCATATATTCAAGTCTCATTTTACTCAAAGTGTCAATTAGGATAATCACACGTTTCAGGGTTGTGGTAAGAATTAATTAGATTTTGTGTACAGAGCATCTCATAAAGTAAGCAACCAGAAGTGATAGTAGCAGTTATCTGTGGGGTGATACAGGTGACAGTAGTGTACATGGTCATTTGCTAGAATTTTCTTTCCCTTCTTTTCAGGAAAGACCTAGCTGAGTATCAGAAAAATTGTGAAGATCTTAAGGAGCGACTAAAGCATAAAGAGTCTCTTCTCGCTGCTAATATGTCTAACCGTGTGGGTGGCCTTTGTTTGAAATGTGCTCAGCATGAAGCTGTTCTCTCCCAAACCCATAGTAACGTTCACGTGCAGACCATTGAGAGACTGACCAAGTAAGTACGCCTCTCCACACAGAGGCTTTGCAACATGGAAAACTGTGTCTTTAAAGGATCATTGTGTTCTTTTATCCCTGTGCTGCCTCACGTGGGATTGATGCACAGCTTCAAATAAAATAGATTTTATTTTATTTCCCTGGAGCTTTCTTGAAGACAGGCGGGTGCTACCAGCTGTGTGTGACCAGCTCACTGGGGCAAGTCATTTTACTTCTCTTGGACTCAGTCTCATCTCAAATTGAGAGAATTGAAGTAGATAATCTCTACGGTTCTGATCATGTCTACGAGTCTATAATTGCAAATCCAGCACTATTTGTAACAAAACTGAATTTGAGAGGAATTCTTCTTTTCAATATTTTTTATTTAGGTATCTGAGAGAGAGAACAAGGAGCATGAGCGGGGGTGGGGGCAGAGGGAGAGGGAGAAGCAGTCTCCCCGCTGAGCCGGGAGCCCAATGTGGGACTCGATCCCAGGACCTTGAGATCATGACCTGAGCCAAAGGCAGACACTTAACTGACTGAGCCACCCAGGTGCCCCTGAGAGGAATTATTTTGATTTTTTCACATCTTGGATTTCCCAGTGGAAGGCTAGGTGGGGTGAGTTTTTAATCACATCTTCATCACGTGCCTGCCATGAGGAATATTGCGAGTGCATTGGAGGAAGGACCCTTAGATCCACTATCAGTATTTGAAGATGACTAAGGACAAGTTCCAGATGAGCTTTTGTACAGTCCACGTTTTCATCTAGGCTGAAATACTGCGGTTCTCTGTCTGCCTCATTTTTGTTTTATCTTCACTGCTCCTGGGACACCTTTTCCTGAGAGAAGATTTTCCTGTGGAATTGGAGAATTGTTATTTAAGACGCCATCCAATGGTGGTTCATAGTGTGTGTTCTCCCGGGCCTCCTTCTCTTCTCGTGCTAAAGGTCTCCCCTCTCTGCTTTTTGGGGCTCATTTAAACAGCCCAGACGTCACCGCCTCCAAAAGTGTTCTCTCGCCAGCCTCACCCCATCCTGTGCTTAACCGACTTAGGCTCCTTCCTTCTATGACTTTATAATACATTGTGTGTACTTGGCGGTGGCATCTGTGGTGCATTTATTTCTGTGTCCCTGGCTTCTGGCCGAGGACCTGGCCTGGGGCATACACTCAGGTGAGGGTTTGCTGATCATAGACAAGGCATTTTGGCAGTCAGAGTTCCTCTGGTTGGAACTGGCGTGAAGAGTGGAAAGACTTGGTCTGTAAAGTCAGACCCATTTTACCCCAATGTTTTGACCTTTGGACAAGTTACTTTACCTCTCTGAGTCTGGACGTCTCTTGTTTGGGGGAATAATACCCACGTGTTGGGATTTTACCGGGGCACTTAGCCTTGTGCTGGAGCGCAAACTGCCTCGACTCATATTCTAGTTCTACTGCTAGTTGCCTGTGCAACCTCATGAAAGTTACTTAACCTCTCCGCCTCAATTTCTGCATTTTTAAAATGGAGATAAAAGTACCTTAATAGCATTATTTTGAGGGTTCTTTGAAAGAATACCTACACGGTGCTTAAAACAGTTCCTGCCAAATAATAAATGCTCTATAAATATTAAAACTCCTCTGTACCTCTCCTACTTCGAAAGCAATCAAGATGTCAGGTAGTTGTTATTTCCATACATAACTATCCTGTTGGTTATTACATAAAAACTGAATTTCTCCAGTATGGACTGACTGGTAATTTTTTATGATCAGAGCTGATGGTCCTGCTTGTTGTTAAATATTACATTAATTAAATATATTATTAAATCATTCTTACTTTTTTTTTAAAGATTTTATTTATTTATTTGACAGACAGAGATCACAAGTAGGCAGAGAAGCAGGCAGAGAGAGAGGAGGAAGCAGGCTCCCTGCTGAGCAGAGAGCCCGATGGGGGCTCGATCCCAGGACCCTGGGATCATGACCTGAGCTGAAGGCACAGGCTTTAACCCACTGAGCCACCTAGGTGCCCCATTTTTATGTATTTTGTATAACTGTAAAATTTGTTAAGTATATATTAAATATATTTTCAGATCCAACTACCATGTGGCAAACATTTATTATATACCAAAGGACTCTGCCAGGCACTTTAAAAACGTAATCTTTTTTAACCTTAGTAAAGCATGTGTGAGGTAAATATTACACCTGTTTTGTGGCTAAGGAAACTGAGGCTCAGAGGAGTTAAAAATTTGCCTGTTTACATTTGAAAAAAAAAGAACCATACTTCACAAAAACAAATTCAAGATGGTTAAAGACCCAAATATAACTCAGTCTATAAAAACATTAAAAGAAAATATAGAAAATTATCTTTATGGCTTTTGGCTAGGTCAAGTCCTGAACATGGAATGGAAAATGAATGCCATAAAGGAAAAAATATATATACATTTAACTTCATTAAAAAGAAACTTCTTATGATACAATGATGCAAATTGAAATGAAAAGACTGGGGAAAATATTTGCATGTTACATAACAAAAAGTTGGTATACTATCTAAAGAAGTCCTTTGAAACAAACACAGGACCAACTGCCTCCTTGCAATGTGGATAAGGAATAAGGATTGGCGAGCAATCAAGGAGGAAGACGTCAATATACGAGAGGGTGTTTACTCTGTTATTATTCAGGGAAATACAGATTTCCAAAAAACTGAGCCCTCATGTTGGCGAAAATTAAAGAGACTGATAGTGACAAGGGTTGGGGAGGCCCTGAGGGAGCATTTTCACATACTGCTGGTGGGAACTGTAAGTTGATACTACTTTGTAGGGTAATTTAGCATTATCCATTAGAAGTTGAATTGTGTGTTACAGGTTTCAAAATCTATCCCAAAGATCCTATGTATGTGCATAATGGGGCCGTTGTAGGGAATGCTTTCATGGCATTATTTGTAATTGGTGTTGTGATATTGTGATATGATAAGAAATACATATTTTGGTCTTCATCTCTAGTTCCTGGTGTAGAGCTCCTGAAACCCCTGTAATGTCCTAAAGGATAAGAATGATAGGAACACCCTTTGTGACACTTGGTTTCTGTCCCCTGCTCCTGAAATAGCTCTGGCACATCAAAGTGAAAGGAACATCTTTTGTTATTCTTACAAGATCAGCCAAACCTGAGTTTATGTTAATGAGATGACTTTTGGAAACTCACTAAGGATGGGGGGCGGGGCGCTGGTCGCCAGGGGAACCATCCACGTGATTAGAAGATTGGCACTTTCAGCCCCTACTCCCCAGTCTCTGGGGAGTTGGCAGGGACTGGAGATTGAGTTCAATCACCAGTGGCTAATGATTTTATCAATCATGCCTGTAGAACCTCCCTAAAACCCCTAAACAATGGAATTTGGAGGGCTTTTCATTTGGTGAACAGATCAAGGGGCTGGGAGGGTGGCACGCCCAGAGAAGGCACCGAAACTCCACGCCTCGTCCCCCGCCATGTCCCAGGCACTGCCGTGTGCCTCTCTTCCTTATCCCTCAGTGTCTCCTTGATAGTTAATGGAGAGTAGAAGTAAAGCACTTCCCTGAGTTCTGTGAGCTGTCGTAACAAATGATCAAGGCTGAGGAAGAGGTCACGAGAACCCCTGACTTAGGGCCAGTTGTCCAGAAGTATAGGTGACCATCTGGGACTTGCAATTGGTGCCTGAAGTAGGGGACAGTCTTATGGGGCTGAGCCCTAACCTTGGGGTCTGTGCTGACTCCAGGAAATTAATGTCCCAACTGAGTTAGTATCAACTGAGAATTAGAAAATTGCTTGGTGTGGAAAATGCACGCATGAGGAGTCCGAAGTGTTGCGAGCACAGAAATTATGGAGGAAAACAAGAAGTGTTTCTTTTAGATGTGAACGACCTATATATACTTCAGAGGTTTAGATAAATTATGTTATGCATAGTAGAAGAGAAAAAGAGGTAGGTCTGTAGGTACTAATGTGGGACTAAGTCCCACAATATATTGTTGAAGGAAAAAAATAAAGATGAAAAAGACATGTCTGCAATGAAACCCGTTTGTATTTTTATTTTTTAAAAAAAGTCCATACGCAACCATACCATGTATTTTCTCCAGGTTCATATACAGGCATAAAAAGAGGTTTGAAAGGATAAGCACCCAATATTTAACAGGGATTACCCGTGGAGAGGGGGAAGAAGGCACCGAAATCGAAAGTAGGTGTCAGATGGGTCTTTAACCATGTTGGTAATCACATTTACAAGGAAAATATAATGGAAAAATTCATTTAAAAAGGGCAAAAAGCATGTTCAAAGTCACACAGATGAAGAGAAACAGAGTTTAACTAAGTGGTCTATCATAACCAAGCCAACAAAGGGAAGAAGGGTTTTTTTTTTTTTTTTCCCCCTGCTGCCTTCAGATTATCCTTGTAGGTCATTAGAAACATAATTTAAGAGGAAGCTACAATGTTTACATTGACTTGAAGGCTGGCAGTCATTTAGAACTTAGATTCTTCCTTAGTTATGTATTCCTTTGTCTCTATCCTGCATTTTAGCTCAGCCTTTTAAAATAAATGTCAGCCTTCTCTGTTCAGTTTTCTGCTTTGTCAGCGTATCATGAGCTCATGTTCTGCTTTCCTAACAGAGTACAGTGGAAGGCTCCTGCTTTTATTGTCAATGAAACCTTTGTCTATAGGATTCCTTTGGCCTCAGCTGGTGGTCAGCTTCTTTCAACTTATTAATGCAGAAGGCTGAATATTGAGTGTTATGCTGCCTTTGAAGAGTGGCCAGCACTTTTTAGGTCTGGATTTTTAGTTTTCTGCATAATTAGAAGCCTGGACCCTGCAATGAGCTGTATCATGGAATTTCCTGAAGGACTCTAAGTGGGAATTTAAAAAAATGAATCAAATGAATCTCCTGGCCTCTCCTTGAAATGTGGCATTATGACACGAGCTGTAAGTTCCTTTGTTGAACTTTTAGCATAGAATGTATAGCCTATAGGACAAGAGTGCCTCGACCTCTTGAAAGGGACAGGGTCAGGCATGACCTGGAGATCAGACCACCACTATGCTCGTGGAGTTGTGTTAGGACCGTAAGGACTTTCTGGAGAGTACACTTGACACTTGTTGATGGCGCTGGATACATTTTAGAATCGTTTTGAAGTCCTCACAGTGTTCCTGAACTTTTTTTATCCTCTTTATGCCCTGAGGTGAGTAAGAGCGACAGGAGCCTCTCTTTCTTGCCCAATGATCAAAACACCTTCGAATGATCATCAGGATGGAACTGCTTTGTAATTAGGTCCTTTTCTGTAGCGCCTAGTGCCTTGGAGAAGTTTCAGTGCACCGTTCAGAGAGGAGAAGTGATTCCTACTGTGTTCTCCTGGGCCTTTAGTCCAGCTCGTGCATTTTGAGTAGGTCTTGGCAATGTGGTGTGTAGTTGCCTCTGAAAGACTATGGCAGGAACTTCCTAGTAATGAGGAACCAGGAAGTGTTATCGCGAGCCTTCTAGACTTGCTTCTAAACGACAGGAGTAATACGAATGATTCTTAGTTATGCTTGAAACTGGTTCTCATTGTGAAATAACTGAGGAATTCCAGGCATGCCTTATGCACCTTATCTTTCAAGATGAAGCTCGTGCCTATATATCAGACCTTATTTTAAACACCTGACCCAGATTATTCAGGGACTTTCTCATCCTTGTTGCTCTGATTGTTGCACTAAATTCCTTAAATACTCCACACTTGGTAGCTGGCTTATCCCAGCACTGGCCCCTACCCCCCCTGCTCCTTGCCTGGATTTCTGCATGAGCTGCCCTCACGCGGATCCTTTCAGGGAACGTGGCAGCACTGACTCTGTGCTGCTGGCTCTGCTTCAGAAAACTCCTTGATGACGCTCAGATGGTGTTCTCGCAGCACTTGCAGACCTTTGGCCATTGCAGATGGTAATCTGGCGGACTGCCACCTCACACTCACACTGGTCAGTCACGTGTATTTGTACAGCTTCCCACTGGGAGAAGCGCACTTGGGCCTGGCTCTGGGCTGGGCCTGTGGGCTGGGAGCTCTGGAGCAGGCCTGTGACTGCCTGGGTCGCTCTCCTGGATGGCTGGGCTGGACTGTTCCCGAAGGCCAGATAATGTGGAGGAGCGTGGGGCTGGGGCTGAAAAAAAGGGGGGCTAAACCAAGAAGGTGACCTGGGAGTGAGACTGGAAGCAAAGCCTCGTGTTGAGGACAGGGCTAACGTGCCCAGAGCTGGGTCTGTTTCAGGTGCTTGCCCTTTGGATGTGGGCCAACCGAGCTGAAGCAAAGCAAAACCAAAAAATGTAGCGACTGAGTGGCTGATCCCAAATTATCAAGATGGCTTCCTGGGCCCGGAAGTGTGTGTGCAATTTGGGCATCTCTCTGGAGCTTTCCAGGTGATCTGAGGGCCACCTTTAAGCATGTGGTGCATTTCTCTTCCAGAAAACTGGAGTGTGTCATTCCGGTGGCCATACAGACGTTCAGTATCATCGTGTCCGGGCTCACTGCTGGGTGATGAGCTTAACAGGACATCAGTGTTTGGGGTGTTCATCTTTGATGACTGTCTGTCCTCTGAACTTGATGAGTTGATAGTCTGGCAAGATTCTGAACGAGAACAACTAAACTCTTGAGTCTCCAATTCTAAACAGCCTCGTGACTTTTAAAATCTAGATCCTGAGATTTTAGAACTGGGAGCAGTTTTACTTTACCTTTTTTGGTGCCCTGCTATAGCGGAGTCACTGCTCATTCGTTTGGTCTTTTGTCCTTTATTCCACTGAGTATCTGCGAATGTGTCCGACTCCTCCCCACCAGAGGACATACTGAAAAGAGATTAAATATATTAAGCGTTAAGTCTCCTGTGAGGAGCAGATTTGATCGATTTTGATCCTGTCAGTGAACTATCAATACTGAGCTTTTCGGTTAATTCTCTTTAGTCAGAACTTTGGCTTCAGTGAGCACACGGCAGCACAAAGAGCATCACTGAATCCTTTCTCAGTCCAATTTACAGCGATCTGATGCCCTTTTTGACTTGCTGTCTTTAACAAGTGAATTTTTATTGTCTTCTAGACTCCTAGGTTCTAGTTGGACTGCATATTCTCAATGAAGTGCGTCGTCTTTTATGCTAGAGATTTTTTGAAATGCAAATAAATATAAATTCACTTTGCCTTCAAGTAATCTGTGTTTGACTTAACTAGAATGATTTAACCGTGCTTTGATTCTTCTCTTTCACATAACCATTCTGTTTGATTGTATTTGATCAAAATAATTAACTCCTTTTTTCATTTCCTTTAGAACAAAAGAATTGGAGAGTAAATTATTTTTTTCAAATCAGAACACAGCAGGAAATTCTAGAATGAAGATCACTGTGCTCCCATGAACTTTACTATAGTTGAAGCAAATCTTTTTTTTTTTAAACAAAACGGGCTTTTATGAAACTGCTAATAATTGTAACTTTGTTCAGTATTACATATTTCTTAAAATATGAGTGCTTTCCAAATACCACAAATATTTTAAATCATTTTATCCTTAAGAGCTTTTTTTAGGGGCTCCTGGGTGGCTCAATTAAGCATCTGCCTTTGGCTCAGGGTCCTAGGATGGAGCCCCACATCCGGCTCCTTGCTCAGCAGGAAAGCCTGCTTCTCCCTCTTCCTCTGCCCGCTGCTTCCCCTGCTTATGCTCTCTTTCTCTCTGTCAAATAAATAAAATCTAAAAAAAAAAAATTTTTTTTTCTTATTTTTTAAAATCCAGTCACTGGTTAATTCTAAAAGCAATTCAAACTCAGAGATTATAACCTTTGAGATTATTCCTCCTTCAAGCTTGCTAAACTTAAAAAAAAATCAGAGTTGGCTCTTTCCTGGTAGTTTAGGACTTGGCAAAAAAAGGAAACTGCAAGCAGTTACTTGAACTGAATTTGAAACCACAGTTTAGAACTTGAACTCTGTAACAAAGTGTGGAATAGCAGCAGAACCATCCAGCTTACGGTTTTTGTGTGTGGTTTTTTTTTTTTTTTTTTTTTTTTTTTTTCTTTGTGTGCATAGAAAGTTCCCCACCTCATTTTCTCTTTGGTCTACTGACCATTTTTATCCAATGGATAAATTCCAAATATCCTAAAATCTTCTACGGGATTTATTTAACCCATGAGGTTGGATCTTTGCTAGTTTACACGCCAGAGTGTTTTGGCATCTGGTTGCATCTGTCCCCAAGAAATGGTTAGCTTAAAGGACTTCTGAGAATTGCTGACAGGGGTGTGGGGCTGAGCAGTGATCAAAGCCAGCGGGAAGAGATTTTGTTAAATCCTGACTGTTCTCTGCGTGACCAGGGTAGTTGAGGGATTTAACAGTCCTACCCACTTAAAGAAGAAATGTGTTCATAAGGAGGGCAAAAAATTTAACTGAAAGAGAAGGGAGGAAAAGGGGGTTGTGGAGGAAGACAAACAGGAAAGGACCTATTTGTTCAGACAAATGGGTTGGGGGAGTCAGCAGTGTAGACAAGACCTTAGTAGTCCCTGGAGATGTTAACTTCCACTTTGAAGTTGAGTTCCCACCCTCTCTGTCTTATTCCTTTTTCCCCCAGTCCCCCACCCCTCTAATTTTTCAACCAACTTCCTATTTTCTGGGCTCTACTCTGCGGCCCACAGTGGGGCTGTCCTCCCCACAATAGGACATTGTCCCAGGCAGATGCAGCCCTGCCATGGATGCCCAGCCTTTCTGGTGGCTCTGCCTGCCCCTCACCAAGGGAGGACAGGGGGCCTTTCTCCCGGCATGCTTCATGACATGCCAAGCCGGCCCACCCTGGCTCTTCTTCCACGTTGTGTGAGTGCCTTTCTCTTCATGACTTAGGAATACACGATCGCTTGACCATTTCTTGTTCAAATATTCTCTTGCCCACAGGGAAAGGGATGACTTAATGTCTGCGCTGGTCTCTGTCAGGAGCAGCTTGTCAGATATGCAGCAGAGAGAAGCCAGGGCTTATGAGCAGGTGAAACAAGCTATGCACATGACCGAGGAGGCCAACTTCGAGAAAACCAAGGCAAGTCTCAGAAGACCAAAATGACGGCACGCTGAAGCGCGCCTTTTCTTTTCTTTTCTCTTTTCTTTTCTTTTCTTTTTCCTTCTTTTCTTTTTCTTTCCTTCTTTTCTTTTCCAAGTATTTCCATGGGTCCTCTTCCATGACTGAACTCTTTCTTCCGAACACACAGAGTGAATACCAATCTGTTAATGTTGACTTTGCAAAATGAAACAGATTTACTGGTAGAAGTCTTCTTTAGAGAGGCTTACATGCCTCATCTCCTCATTTGCTGATGATTTTGAACGCTGACACCATGCGTATGGGTCCGTGTGTGACAGCCGACAAAAGTTTTCTCCCCTGAGCCTGGGGAATGTTGAGAACATCCAGGCACGCCACAGATAACAGATGATGGATGTGTATGGGACAGCATCCTTGGCTATGAATGGGTCTGGCCCTGTGGATGCTAAGTCACACACGCTGAACGATAACAACGGTAATCAGTAGCACTTTGTGACCAGGCAGTGTGGCGAGCACTGAATGGTAGGAGGTCCTTGTTGATTCATTGCTGTGTTGGGGCTGCACCAGAGTCCACTGAGGCTGCGTTTCCCGTAGATACACCAGCCACACTCCCAAGTAGCTGATCGCTGTACTGGGCAGTGCGGATGTAGAACATTTCTGTTGTCACAGATTCCATCAGATAGCTTTGGTCTATGCCGTATGGTAGCATCAGTATTTATTAAGGTATCGGGCTCTTGACCCCTGTATTCAGCTCCTTAGTCACTCTCTTGTCCATTTGTCTCTACCCAGTTCTCCCTGACTCTTCCCAGACCCCGACCTTCACGGCTTCCATGACTGTTGTCCTGGTGCATCTGTAACTTTCGGTCCATTCTGACCAAACTCGCTCATAGGCTTTGTCTCCTCAGATACTCCTGGTTGTTCATTTGTATGGAACTCTTGTCCCTCGATGACACTGGGACTCTCGAGCCCTCCAGTGAAGGCCCTTTGCTGCTCACGTCATCTCAAATGGCTGTGATGGAGGAATCAGCATTCCCTCTATCCTGACTGCCAGTTCCGGGCCTTCCTTCTCTCCTCTCTGTTAGTGACCAGGCCTCTTTGAAATCGTCATGGTCTCTCCTCTCCCTAATTTTAATCAGTATAAACTCTCAATCATTATTTGTCACAGTGTCACTATTTGACACTGCTTTTTTTTTTTTTAAGATTTTATTTATTTATTTGACAGAGAGAGATCACAAGTAGACAGAGAGGCAGGCAGAGAGAGAGAGAGAGGGAAGCAGGCCCCCTGCTGAGCAGAGAGCCCGATGCGGGACTCGATCCCAGGACCCTGAGATCATGACCTGAGCCGAAGGCAGCGGCTTAACCCACTGAGCCACCCAGGCACCCCCCCCTTTTTTTTTTTTTTTAAAGAAACTCATCCATGTTATTACTTGGGTTTATGAAATAGCAATTTGACACTTTTTAAGAACATTAGTGTCTGACCCTTTCCCCGCTCGTCATCGTCTGCTCAGGCTGCTGTAACAAAAATGCCATAGCCTGACTGGCTTCAACAGCAGACATTTATGTCTCTCAGTGCCGGGGTTGGAGAGTCCAGGATGAAGGCACCAGCAGAGCTGGTGTCTGGTGAGGGCATGCTTTCTGGTTCACAGATGGCCATCTTCTTCCTGTGTAGCCTTACATGGCTGAGGGGGTGTGGGAGCTCTCTGGGACTCTTTTATAAAGGCACTAATCCTACTCATGAGGGCTCCATCCTAAGGATCTAATCACCTCCCAGAGGCCACATACCTGCATACCATCGCATCGGGGCTTAGGTTTCAACACATGAATTTTGGAGGGGTACGTTCCGTCCATGCCGCCCTCTGCCTACCTCCTTTGATCACCCTGAAACGTTTCTACATCATATTGTTAATCACACAACACCATAGTCCCAACATCCTTTGACTCACTTACCTCTAACACGTCCCCTCTTCTGTGGTAACTGTCACCTGAACTGTCGTGTCCAAGGCATGTCAGACTCTGCATCTGCTCCCTCTGACCAGCACTTCTCTCTGCCTCCCTGTTGCCATTAAACGTCTCAGTGTCCTCATTCCTGCGTCTGCTTCTGCAGTCTCCTCCCCTGTCTTACCTGTTGTGTCCAGGCTGGTCTTCTTCCCCTTCCTTCCATCCATCCATCCATCCATCCATCCGTCCATCCGTCCATCATCCATCCATCCACCCATTCATCTGTCCATCCGTCCATCCATCCATCCATTCATCTGTCCATCCGTCCATCCATCCATCCATCCATCCATCCATCTGTCCATCTGTCCATCCGTCCATCCATCCATCCATCCATCCATCCATCCATTCACCCATCCATCCATCCATCCATCCATTCGTGAGAGTGCATGCATGCACACAAGCAGGGGGAGGGCCAGAGGCAGAGAGAGAGAGAATCTCAGGCAGACTCCTTGCTGAGTGCAGAGCCCGACGTGGGGCTCAATCCCATGATCCCAAGATCACAACCCAAGCCGAAATCAAGAGTCAGACGTTAAACCGACTGCACCACCCAGGTGTCACCTCCCCTTCTATTTAAACCTGAATTTTACATCCTCAACTGAACTCATTACATTTGCTCCCCTAACACTGCTGTGTTCTCTAGGGAGTGGTGCCTCTGTCCACTACTGTGCCTCGACCGGAAAGCTGGTCACCATCCTCTCCTCCGTGCCTGACGTCCAACCAATCACTAAGTACACATCTTAGTTTCTGAACTCCTGTTGGGTTCTTCCCTCACTGTCACCTTTCTTGTTCAGGACACCATAATCTCTGGATTATGAATAACAACATCCTCTTCCTTCCCTCTGTTGCGGAGCACACTGCAGCCAGAAGTGACCTTTTATTTTTTTTTTAAGATTTTATTTATTTATTTGACAGAGAGAAATCACAAGTAGGCAGAGAGGCAGGCAGAGGGGCGGGGAGGGAGGCGGGAAGCAGGCTCTCCGCTGAGCAGAGAGCCCGATGAGGGGCTTGATCCCAGGACCCTGAGACCATGACCTGGGCTGAAGGCAGATGCTTAACCCACTAAGCCACCCACGCACCCCAGAAGTGATCTTTCTTCACGGCAGTTTGATCCTGTGATTCTTTGATTTCCAATCTGTCTGGGAGTGTCCACTGTCTCAGGACAGTCTCTAAGCCCTTTGCTGTACTTCTGAGGTCTGTCATGTGCTTCCTTATTACTCTCCTCCAACAGACTCAGCCCCTGTCAGCTTGGCAAAGCAGTCAGAGGTTGGGTGAGGTCTTCTTAGCATTAGCAGACCTAGATTCAACTCCGCTGCATCATTTCCCCAGCTGCGTGACCCAGGACAGCTTACTTAATTCCCCAGGCCGCAGTTTTTCCTCATCTGAAAGATGGAAATAATGTCAGACTTAGAGGATTGCTAATGAGGACTGCATTTTTTCAATTTATATTTTTAAAAATTTATTTATTTGAGAGAGAGAGTGCAAGGGAGCAGAGCCAGTGGGCGCGGAACTGGGCAGAGGGAGGAGCAGAGGGAGAGGGAGAAGAAGACTCCCCGCTGAGCAGGGAGCCCTGTGATCCTGGCACATGACCTGAGCCTAAGGCAGACCCTTCACCAACTGAGCCACCCAGGTGCATTTTAAAATGTGTTATCTGTTAAGTTGTGGAAACTCTGGCACAAAGTATTTCCTCAAGAGCTAGTGCCTCTGATGGTGACGGCTTCCAGTCCCTTGTTTATGCACTGCCATTGTAGCCCCCGGGAGTTTGCACGCGCCATGCAAATGCTTCTTCACCCCACAGCCTGGATATTTTCTCCATCTTTCAGGTCTGCTGCTCTCTCTCGAAAAATCTCTGCTCTCCCATGCGTAGATTTCATGTACCTCTTATCTCTTCATAGCAGTACTTCTCAGCCCCAGCACTGCTGACGTTTGGACTACATAATTCTTTGTTGTAGGGGTTGTCCTGCCCGCACATCCTAGGATTTTTAGCAGCATCCCTGGCCTCTTTTCACTGGATCCTGGATCGCACCTCCTCTTCCCCAGGTTCTGGCGACCAGAGATGTCTCCATACATTGTTAGGGGTTCTCACGGGTGTGTGTGCCTGTGTGTGTACACGTGCGTGTGTACGCGTGTGTTTGCGTGCCTGTATGTATATGTGCGTGCGCATGAGTGTGTGCCTGTATGTGTGCATATGTATGTGCATGCATGTGTGCGTATGTATGCACGTGTCTGTGTGCACGTGTGTATGTGCGTGCATGTGTATGTGCGTGTATGTAAGCGCATGTGTGTGTGCACGTGTATGTGTGCATGTGTGTGCGCACATGTGCGTACGTGTGTGCGTGTATGTGTGCACGTGTGTGTACGTAAGCGCATGTGCATGCTGAATTGCCCCCTGGTAAGAACTGTTCCCCATTATGTACGTCAGTCATCAGTGTATTAGTCTCCCTTATTTGTCTTTATCTTCCATTAATCTTACTATTTATTTGTTTAGAGAGTGCATACACGTGCGTGCGTGAGCTGGGGGAGGGGCAGAGGGAGAGAGAGAGAGAACGCTAAGCAGGCGCTGCGCTCATTGTGGAGCCCAGTGTGGGACTCAGTCAATCTCATGACCCTGCCATCACGACCTGAGCCGAAATCAAGACTCAGACACTCAACCAACCGAGCCATCCAGCGCCCCCTTCATTAAACTTTAGAATCTCGGAGAGGAAGGAACTCACCTGTCTTGATCACTGGTCAGTCTTTAGCACCTCGCATACTGTGTGGCATGTAATAGGTTCTCAGGAAATGTCCACTAACTAGGGAATTGTCATGTTTCCAGTAAGACTCTAGAAGTCTTTTGTTCTTATCTTTCTAGTCTACCCCCAGGGCCAGTGCCCAGCAGAGGCTCAACCACACATTTTTTTCCTATCGCTACTTTCAGCCTGGCAAGTGTTGCTGAGGAAAGCCACAGAATGAATTCCACAGGGGGCTGATACGGGTCACCCTCCACGGATGGAAGTAGTATTTAAAGG